TTAAACCCCCGACATTAGGTCCTCATTTTTTAGTGACCTCCTTATAGTTCAGATCTCAGCTTGTCATTAAGTAAGTAACACCAGTCCCGGCTTTGTTCGGAAAGTTTCTACTTTTTGAGCATTGTGTATCGGGTAAGAAGACTATGGATCTGAACCAGAAAAACAAAAAACCTAGATGTCAGGTAAAATTTCTCAGCTAACTTTACTCTGAAAGTTGAAAAAGACAGTTTTATATCCATATCTATATATATATATAGATTTATTTATAGATATGTCAATATATGTGTCAATATATATGTCAATATATATGTGTCAATATTATTCAAAGTGATCTACGAGTATAAAACATTTCCAACCCTAGTTTCAACATGCTCTAATGAAATGGGAAAACGAATCATCAACTGTAATATGAAAAGAGGCTCCAGATGAGCAAAGCATTCCTGAAGAAAAGGCGCAGATAAGAAACCTCACTCACACTCTCTGATCCACTATATAATCAAGTACTCAGTGTTGCCTGGTATTGGTACATGTAAAGGTACATAAACCAATGGAACAGAATTGAGGACCCAGCAATAATTCCATCTATCTATGGAAGTTGATCATTGACAAAGGACCAAAGTCTATTTACAAGGGGACGAGAAAGACTCTTAACAAATGACGCTTGCAAAACTGGATATCCATTTGCAGAAAACTTGAGTACAACCTTGAGTCTATTCCACTTGAATTTCAAAAACATCTCAAGAACATATTTGACACGTTTGGCACTACTAACAGAAGACCTGATCAGCGATGGGATATCAAGAACATCGTTCACGAAGAAAGCAAAAGTCATTAAAAAGACAGGAAAGAAAATGAAGATGAAAATCTTAATTATAGAGTAGCTAAGGCAAACTGAAGAACTGATGATGTCAAAGAGCTGAATAGAACATTTCAAGCTGTTGAGAAGATGCCAAATATAATAAAATGTGCAAAGACCTAGAATTAGAAAACCAAACAGTAAGAACACATTCAGCATATCTTAAACCAAGAGAACTCAATAAAAAATTCAAGCCTATAGCAAAAAGCAATAATAATATATAATATATTAAGGGTCCGTGGGGGTGGTAGGGCCGGGAGGAGGGGATAAAAGGGAGCTGATATCGAAGAGTTCAAGAAGAAAATGTTTTAAACTATGCTTGATCTAATTGAATTATGGATTGTTATAATATTTGTAAGAGCTCCTAATAAAATGATTATTTTTAAGTAAGCCAAAGAACAATTTAAAAAAAATCAAGTCTGGAGTTGTATTATTCCTTGAATTGCATTATTGAAAGATTCTGTGAACAAAATATTGAGTGATTCAGGCAACATCAAAAGAAGATGGAAAGAACACAGAGTCACTGTATCAAAAAGAATTAGTCAACATTCAGTCACTTCAGGAAATAGCATACGAGCAAGAACCAATGGTACAGAAGGAAGAAATTCAACCTGACCCGAAAGTATTAGTCAAAAACAAGTTCCAAGGAATTGATGAAACATCAATTGAAATGTTTCAAAAAGTTGATAAAGCACTGGAAGCACTTACTTAGCAAAGGTCAAGACATTTGGAAGACAGCTACTTGGCCAACTGACTGTTAGAGATCCTTATTTGATCCACTACAAAGAAAGGTGACCCAACAGAATGTTCAAATTATAAAACAATGTCCTTGATATCACATAGAAGTAAACTTTTGCGAAAATCATCCAATAACAGTTGCAGCAGTACACTGGCAAAGAACTGCCAGAGTTTCAGAAGAGTACATGGAACAAGGGATATCACTGTTGATATCAGATGAATCTTGGCTGAAAGCAGAGAATATCAGAAAGATGTTTACCTGTGCTTTATTGACTATGCCAGAGCATTCAGCTGCATGGGTCAAAAGAAATTATGGATAACCTTGAGATGAACGGGAATTCCAGAACACTTCCTTGTCCTCATAAGGAACTTACACATGGGTCACGAGTCCGTTGTCCAAACAGAACAAGGAAATATTGCATGGTTTAAAAATAGGAAAGGTGTGCAACAAGGATGCATCCTCTCACTGTACTAATTCAATTTGTATGCTGAGCAAATAATCAAAGCTGGCTATGCAGGTGACACCACTTTGCTTGCTGAAAGAGAACAGGACTTGAAATACTAGCTAATGGATTCAAACCATTGATCTTGTGATTAGATAGCTCACTAAACCACCAGCGCTCCCCTTACCATTATTGCTGTGAGGTCCTGGTTCCAACTGAAAGCAGTCCTCCGTACAACAGAACAAAGCATTGCCCAGTCCTGTGGTATCCTCACAATGACTGTTATGTTTGAACCCATTGTTGCAGCCACTATACCATTCCATCTCATTAGCCTTTAGAGATGCAAATCAAAGTAAAAATGAAATATCACTTAACCCCACCAATAACAGAAAAAAAGTGCTGTCCAGGGTGCGGACAGACTGGAAACCCTCGTACTACTGCTGGTACAACTACAAAATGATGCAATTGGTGTGGAAAATAGTATGGTACGTACTTAAAAAAATATGAAATGCTGCATGATCAAGCAACCCCACTCGAGAAATATGAGAAATAGCAGAAACAAATATATGCCCACATGTTCATTACAGTATTATTCACATTAGCAAAAGCAGGGAAACAGCAAGTGCCCACCAATAAGTAAACGGAATACCACACAATGTTCAAAAAAAAAAAAAAATCATGAGCCTCACAAACATAGATGAACCTAGGGACATGCTAAGTGAAATTAGTAAATCATAAAGGGAAAATATTGTATGAGGCCGCCATTAAAAAAAAAATCAAAAGTTTACACACTAAAAGCAACATTCTTTCATGGTTGCCAGGGGTGGGAGAAAAAAGGAGGTGAAACCACTAATTGGAATGCAGGCACGTACTACATTGAGTAAAGGGAAAGGCCTTATGCAATAAGGGAGAGAACAGCACAAAACAATCAGGGCAAAGGAAGCCACTGGGAGGAGCACGAGAGGTAAGTACTACAACAATACACAGAACTGCAGTAACAGTAAAAATACTAATCTCTAACTGCACACATATAAACACACAAGCTGAACAGAGGCAGGAAGCCAAATTAGATTGCGCGCGCACGCGCGCACGCACACACACACACACACACACACGCACACAGAGTTTGACAAGATATTTCTATATATGTATTTATATGTGCTGCAAATACTTCCATGCATATCATAGAGCCTGAAGGGGGCAAAGTTATGAAAAGATCTCAACCATAACCAAATATTTTGAAGGAATGTGTAGGGGACCAAACAGCAGTACTTGCACAGGGATAAAATCTGGAAGGCAGAGAGCGGTAGGGAAGACAAAAGAACTGACACACACAGAGGAAATGGAGGAGTGCACTGACACTGTGGAAAGGCCATCAACCTCACAAAACAAAACGTGCATGGGCCATTGCAGGAACAACCACACGATCTGTAAACCTTCACCAACAGCACAATTTAAAAAAATAACTTTAAAGGATATGTGAAAAGTTGGGACTTCGGAAAATTTGAGTAATGAAAATTGGAAGTTAAGGCAAAAAAACCACAACAAACAGTGATATAAAAAAGCAACAGAAAGAACAAGTATATTGAGAAATGGATATTAATATGGGCAAAGTTAATAAACCATTACCAATAAAATATTTCGATGTTCTTAGTTTAGGATTTTTTTCAATAAACTTTTAAAGTACAATAAAAAATTGCATTTTATTAACTGCCATGCCATAAATGGAAATAATGATCATCTCTATCTTATTATAACTAATAAAAATGATTTGATTTTATAACCTCTAGTAACTCCAAAGGGGAAAAAAAACTTATGAAAAAATCTAACCAGCTGTTTGCGTGGATGGTTGCTGTTGTCAGATGGTCACTACTGGTTACGTGAAAATATCTAATTCCCTGATCATACCAAATAGAGCACCTACCAAATACTGTGGAACCAGATAGATCACACACTATTCTCTATACCAGCAGTTCTCAACCGGTGGGTTGCAACCCCTTTGGGGGTCGAACAACCCTTTCACAGGGTTGCCCGATTCATAACAGTAGCAAAATCACAGTTAAGTTGCAGTAACGAAAATAATGTTATGGTTGGGGGTCACCACAACACGAGGAACAGTATGAAAGGGTGGCGCCATTAGGAAGGTTGAGAACCGCTGCTCTATACAATTAGACAAGGTAGTAGTTGAGAACTCACCTTTCTTCATCTTTGTCATACAGCTGGTAATAATCTCCACAGCCATTCCAAAAGGTGCTGTCCACAGCTTCTCGCCTGCCCGCGGTGGCTCCATTTACTGGCAGTAACTCTTCAGGCTCTGGTTCTATTTGTATCATTCCGCCGAAAGGTGGATCCAAGAACATACAGTCATGTTCTCCGTCATACTCTTCACATTTTATTAACAGGTCCTCGGAGCCATTTTCCTCAACTTCCACAACTTCCACAGCCTCCTTCCACTTCTGAGCACTTCTTTGTTTAGCGTCGTGCCTACTGAAGCTGGCTTCTTTGTCCACCTGGCTGGAACTTAGCAGTTTCCTCACTTTGGGCCTCACTACCTGCTCAGGGGCCCTTTCCTGGTGGTTTTCCCTTCCACTCGTCATCTGTTCACCACACATGTGCCCTGAAGCCCAGGCAGAATCTTCAGCTGGATTTTCTCTCTGCCTCTCCGGGCTAGTATTATTTTGTTGCTTCTTTCTAACAACTTTATCAGAAGAGGAGCTCTGTAATTCCTGGTTACTTTGATGGATAAACTCAGCATCACCAGTAGAACTTTTCACTAAAGGTGCTGAATCTACCTCTTCAAACACTTCTTTTATTTCACCGTTGAGAGAGGGAACTGGTGGTGAAATACCCGTGTATGCCTCCACTCTCCCATTTTCCAATTCAAACACTGTATCGCCCAACGCTTCCTGGTATCTACCACCTTCCACATCTTCTGTAGAAAGCTGAAGACGGTCATTTTCTTCTCCAGGCTTGGCATTTGGATCATAAGAGTCCGTATGAACCACTGCATTTCCATTTTGGACACCTGAAGCACCGTATGCTCCTGTAATATATTCTCCCTCACAGTGATTATGAAGCTCTATACTGCTTCCTGTGGCTACTCTGTCTTCCTCACTATGTCGCACTGCAGCAAAGGAAGGGCTGTTCTCAACGCTTTGATTCAATGTTGTACCACAAGCGGGGATTTCTGTGTCACCGCTTTTGCATAAAGGTTCACTGGATAAAGAAGAATGAACTTGATCCAACGGACTGGAACCTTCACAGAGAACAAAAGAAAACATATTTGAAGGGCTTAGGTTGTTAAAATTGGATTTCATAACAACCATTTAACAGAAATTTAGAACTATCATGACCGACAGGCACCATTCATTCTACTGCACTTTCCTGTGTTTTACAGAGATGGTATTTCTCACCAGCTGCAGGTGTGGGGCACGCTGGTCTGAGGAATTCTGTCTGTGCTATTTTTCCAGCAGTGTGTGCTTACTTGATGTCTCTGTGTCACATTTTGTAACTCTCACAATGTTTCAATTTTTTTCATAATGCTACTGCACACTGAAGAGATTATAATACAGTGTCAACTTAACTTTTATATTCAATTGGAAACCAAAGAATTCATATGACTCGCTTTATTTACATTATAGCTGTGTTCTGCAACCAATCCTGCAACAGCTCAGAGATATGCCTGTAGTTGAAAATATAAATGAATTTCTCTTGACATGTATATTTATGTTCCTCAACTGGGAGAGCAGATTGGTTATTCTATGAGTTCATATGCCATTTATATATATATATAGACTCTCAATATCCTCTCCTTCACATTTCTTTTGCAAAAGATTTTCCACTTAAATCCTAATACCTAAAACCGTCTGCAAAAGACAAGCAAGGCAGATGACACTGAAAAGCTGTCCAATGAGGGGTATTAAGTAGAGTCATGGGGCAACCAGTCTGCCCTTATCAGCCATCTTCAAACTCAACTTCAAGTATTCCTGACAGAAATAATAACAATAGGTTAAACAGCTAAGAAAAATAGGGCACTACCGTGCTTACGTTAGTTCCAAAGTTTACATCATATTGCAAAAAGGCTTTTTCTTTAACAAATGGCCTAAGCTAGTACAGTCAGCCTTCCATATCCACATGTACAGATTGTACATTTACAGATTCAACCAACAGCAGATAAGAAATGTAGGGATGGTGGGGCAGCAATTCAGTGGTGAAAGTATCGCTCAAAGCTAAGTAGCTGTATTAAATATAAGTAATCTGGAAAATGATTAAGAAAGACAGAAGAGTTGATGCCTTTGAAAGACACTTTGGCAAAGACTATTGAATATATCACAGATTGCCAGAAGAACTTAAAACCTATCTTGGAAGAAGCTCAGGAAGATCAATCCACTGAAAAGAATATCATATTTGGTAGAAGGCCAACAAAAAGTGAGGAAGTTCTTCATGAGATAGATGACATCGTGGTTTCAAATACAAGAATGACTGTGTGGACAGTGGGGGATCAAGCAGTGTTTTGTTACGTTGTCTACAGGGTTTGCTATGAGTCAGAACTTGCTCAAGGGCACCTCACAAACCAGGGAAGACATGCCTAGGCTACAGGCAAATACCACGTCATTTACAAAGCCTGTATATAGCATTTTGCATTCAAGGGAGACCTTGGAACAAATCCCCAGAAGGACAACTGTATTCAGATTCCTGTACATAAATGGCAGTAAAAATAACAAAGCAATACTAAGTTTTCTCAGGGGGGAAAAAAAAGACATTCCAGTCCAAAAATATACAATTATATCTGAAAAACACTTTTCGAACCACTAAATAACAAATACATTTTAATTGAATAAACTGTATTTGATGTTTATTGCTACAAAATAAGAAACAATACGCCAAACAAGCCAAACTAGATTATCTAGAGGTAAAATGAAAACAAAACAAAAGCTATTTAAATATAATAAGCATAGAAAATATTTAATTCCCATAAAAATATTTTGGTTGAATAATAAAGATTTATTCTTGCTGAAGGATATGATAATATAATCACTGCATGACAGTATAGTCATATTTTAATGACCGGCCATTTTTAATTTCTTCTATATATTAATGCATAATAATATATTTAAATTTCTTTCTTAAATGTGATATGAAAGATACTTCTTTACACTTATGCATACACAAAACCTACTCATAAAATCAAATATTATAAGAGGAATCCTTATATGATTGCTTTCTGTGCTATTAATAAGCCTACAAATAGCCCATAAATCATTATATGCTACATACCTGAGGAATTTTCTTTTGGAACATCATCTAGCTCCAACACTTCATAGTCATCACCAGCCCGGCCTAAACTTCTTTCATGCCTGGTCATACATGGTTTAAAACTGACATATGCATGCCTCCTTCCATATCTCCGGCCTGTAATTGTCTGGTATCCTCCTGCTGGTTTGGGCCAGGCAGCCTTGTTGGATTCTTGATCCATTGCTAGAAAAAAATAAATTAATTAAAAATAAACGAGGTA